TGCATGTAACAATGCATCCCACTATGTATAATTATAGTACAAAATGTATAATTATAGTACCAAAATAAAAATATGAAAAGTTTAAAAATAGCAAAGAAAAAGCCTTTTTACGAGCTATGTACATATCTACCTTATGCTACCAACCTGTTACTGTATTTTATACAACTTACTACAGACAGTATCACCTCTACTGCAATAAAACCTATTCTGAAATTGTGAACTTTCTGAAATTTTAAATTTTCATAAAAGATGTAAACCACTTTTAAAGCCTTGAATTCAGTTTCTCTATAAAATATCTGATATGTTAATTTTGGAATTGAAAAAAAATGCCAGATTTGGACACTAATGCTTTATATACAAGTAGTAAAGTTGTGGCTTTGAGAAAGGTTGATGTCCCAAAATGCATGCTCTTTGAGCTGAAAACTGACATTTTCTCTTCCTGAGACTTAGCGTAAATTAATATTTCCATTTCCTCATTCTTCAGATTAATTTCTGTTCTAAGGGTTTTAATAAACTTCAGTTAAAGTTTAACTCAATAAAACCAGATTCTGAACACATTAATTTAGCCACAAATCTATTTTAATCAACATGTGATTAAATTTAAAATCATCCAGGAAAACAAATCATTACTTTGTCATGAATATTTCCCCCAAACAGAAGCATATACAATTCCCACAATCTTGAATACATTCTTCTAAGATGTGTGTGTCTTGGGGAAGGCTTATTTTTAAAAAGTACTGGAAGTTCTATTCAATTAACAGTAGCACTATACAAAAATCTTTTAATAGACCTTAACCATAATAATGTACATTATTTCATGTTATTATTAAATCCAGTACAATACAAAAGCTGACTGGATTTTACTATTGTTCTCTCTTATGCTTAAGTGAATGTGATAAGTTGTATGGGCATAAAATATACTGAAAAGGCACCTAAAAAATATCTTACTTCATAGGATGTAAATATCAYGTTTCTTATTTTTTATAAATATAAAACTATAGTGTTTGTTTTGATAAGAAACAAAAAGGAATGACTATAGAAATACTGACTCTTTTCAATTCTATTAGCTACACTGACTATGGCATTAGGAAGACATCATCTCTCCTGCCCTCSACCTTTCTCTGTTGCTGTTTCTTAAGGGTAAGACAACCAAACTGCCTGCAACAGGTGCCAAGTAAATTGCTAAAAAATGTGGATTTCTCAGCCTCAGTCATTGATCTAAAATCTTTAAGGGAAGGACGCTGGGGTTCTCAGATGACTCTTACAAAAGTGATGATCTGAAAACCACTTTTCTATAATCATTATCTTCAAAGTGAAGCCACAGAGTGTTGAGTGGTTTTAAAAATTATTTCAAATATTTGCATTGTATAAATTGCTTAAAAAATAAAGAGTAATTCAATATCATGAAACAAGAAATAAAAGAATTTTTACAGCAATCTCAATCTTGCATTGTATATAATTTCAGCAAGATTGAATAACATGGTAAGAGTATACAGCAATGTAGAACCAAATGTTGTAGTTAAAAATTTTTAAGCAAAATCAAAGTACATTAATTAATCACAGTCTAATCTAGTGGCATAAAAGTCAATATAAAGGTAGAGTTAATAATATGCCTGGAAACTGTGTATGTATAAAGAATTTAGTGCTTTTTAAGCACTAAAAAACAGATATTGATCTTCATGTATCTGAGCACAGACATACTAATCTAGTTTAAAAAATATCCTCATGTCCCACTYCACAAACAAACTCCTATAAATTAGAACAAAAACTTTCTATTATTAAAATACCTAGGAATTGGGGTTGGGGTTGTAGCTCAGTGGTTGAGCACTTACCTCACACATGTGAGGCACTGGGTTCAATCTTCAGCATCACATAAAAAAATAAATAAATAAAACAAAGCTATTGTGTCCATCTATAACTAAAATATTTTTTATTACCTAGGTATTACTCTGAAACCAAAATATTTTWWAAAAAWTCTATAACATCAAAGTCAGRTAATGTCTTTGTTCTTAGAAAATACACACTAAAAAAACTGGGGATTATGTTTTCAACTTGCTCTCAAATGGTTCACAACATAGTTTGGAAAGAGAATGAGAGAATGCTATAGCAAACGTGTAAAGTGGTGGGGGAATTCAAGCAAAGTTCACTTCATAAAGGCTCTACTATTTTTGCAACTTTCTTTCRTTTAAAATTATTTCAAAACAAAAAGTGAACAAAAACAAACAAACAAAAAACCTTGTAACTGAAACACTAAAAATCTAAGATCTTTAAAATATATTTTTTAAGCTTCACATCTACAGGAATCATTTATGTCTACTTAAATATCTTATAAATTTAGACTAAAATATGAACTGAATTTTTCATTCAATTCAATGCCTTCATACTAGAAACTACAAAGCTGTGTTGCTTTTTTCTCTCCRCTCTGTGTGATCCAAATCTATATGAATATGAAAGAGAAATGTCTATAAGTGTTGCATATTTATTTGAAAAAATTTTCAGATGTTGCTTTTTATTGATTTTTTTCCTTCCACGATCCCTTAATAATTTCTCAGTCTCATAATTTTTAATTGATTTTAAGTTGATTTRAAAGTGGTTCTAAGMCAGAATAGTGTCTGTTTAGTGTCCAGATACACATGTAATAAGAACCCCATCACCTCATACTATCAACACATTGTATTTTGTTAAAAGCACTAATAATTATTTTGCAATATGATTTGCTAACTAATGTAACCTGGTAATTATATAAAGGTTTACTGTGTAAGGTAGAGGAGAGAAGATGGGAGGAAGATGTTAATTCCCTACAAAGGTAGCTGGCATAGAGTAGGCACAAAATAAATATTTGTGTGTGTGGGAAGGATTATTGAAAGATTTTATATTGCTTGCGATGTATCACTAGAAACCATGAGATACCAGAAAGATGAATAAAAGTCTAAGCATGCAAAAAAAAGGGGGGGGCTGGGGTTGTGGCTCACTGGTAGAGCACTTGCCTTGAATGTGTGAGGCACTGGGTTCAATTCTCAGCACCATATATAAATAAAAAATAAAGATTTGTCAACAACTAAAATGAACAAAATAAATAAAATTTAAAAAAACAAAAAACAAACAAAAAAACGCTTTTAAAATCTATAGATGCCAAGTAACAAAGAAAGATTTTTGGTTGAAGTGATTTTCTTACATTTATTTTGGCATGCTTTTTTGTAGGTTAAAATATCAGGGATGCACTCTATTAATATCAAATTAAAACATTAGAACATTTCAAAAATTGCATGATACAATATATCAAGCTGTAAGCTATGAAAAACTAAAAAACAACCAGAATTTTAGCAAATACCATCACCAAATACAATTGAAAGTTGCTAGTATCAAAATTTTTTGACATGTTTTCCAAATGCCACAGTCTACAGAAAAYTGAATTCAAATTCTATTTGATTCAAGCCCTGACTTGATGATTGAAAGTTGTGAAGACTGGGAGAAATTCAAAAGGACATGCCATCATAGGAAACAATGCAAAGGAATTTCAAATACTTTTTCTTTTTAAAATCCAACTACCATTTAGCATTTTATCTTCTACACAAATGACAGTTTAGAATTGGCTGACTAGAGAAGATAACCAACTAAATCTAAAGTTCAGATATGTTTTAAGAATATTAACATAGGTCAGCAAATGGTTTCATGAATTTTCACTTTTATTAGTTAATCACAATTCCTCCTTCAAGATATTCCACAACTTAAGGGGGAAATGTATTATAATTGTTTGGGGACTACAGATGAATCAGTATAAATTTTAGGAGTCTGACTTAAAATATTTTTCACAAGACAAGCGCTTTTCATAAAATGAACACATGAATCTCTTAAGCTATGTTACTAAATGGGGGAAAATGAAAAATTCTTCCATATAAAAATTGAAGATGAAAACTCATCAAGCAGTATAAGACCAGAATGAACAGTAGCATGTTGAGACTTAGTAAACTAGTATGTACTGCTCATCACATTCAGCTGCAGAGGAAACATTAAAATGTAATGTAACAAAAGAAATAGCACCTTTGAAAAATCAAGTTATTTAAAATAAGTTTGCAAAAACTATTCTGAACTCCAAACTCTACATGAAAAAAAAAATTGTTAAGGAGACAGTAACACACAAGCTATTTTGAGAAGTGTAATGTTACATGTGGATTGTAAATGTAAACAATATAGAATATTAAAGCTAAAACTATATCTAGATATCCACAGTATGTAAAAAGTTCCTTTTCTTTTAGAGACGTATTTATTTCCTCTAAACTTGGGTCAGTAAATCTGCATACCATAATATGAGGGAAACTTTTAAAGGACCTACTTAAGAAGTGAAACAGTAGTGAGGTATGCTCAAAGTATCTTTTCATTAAACATGAAGACAAGAGCTTTATTACAAGACTTTATGCTATTCAATGGAATTCAGAATAAAGTGAGTCTGTTTCAGGTCATAATTGGTAACTGAATCATGTAAGTACCACCAGGGATCATCAGAACATGATTTTTATAAAATAATTCCACGGGATAAAGCAGACTTTCTCAATCAGAGATCTGAGTACATCATGATCAGACATCGTAATTTTTTCCTACCATGGGGACAAAGTATATACTTACTTTTTCCTAACCTCTTAAAATCCTTCTAGTTGAAAAAGTCTTTTAAAGGTTCATTCAAATAAAAAAAATGCTTAATAAGCAATCTCAATGGCCTAGAAATATTTTCAAAGACTATTTCCCAGGGCTGGGGATGCAGCTCAGTGGTAGAGCACTTGCTCAGCATGTATGAGGCCCCCAGTTCTATCCCCAACATTGCAGAAAAAGAAATTATCAAACTCTGATATCCACTTGAATATTTTTGATTTTTACACTGTTACATCAAAATTCTTACCATAGTAAATGATGTTCCCACTTGAAAATATTGTTATTAATCACAAATCCTTACTCATAACTTGAAAAAATAGATTATGGGTTCCAATATATTCTTAATAAGTTACTATAATTTTGTATCTACCTTCATTTATAAATACCACACAAATGTCACTGTAGGTGTCTTAACGCCATATCATTAAACTAATTTGCAGAGATTGATTTTAAAAGCATTGAGCATAAGTTGCAAAAAAAAAAAAAAAGTAAAGTAAAAGCCCCCTGCCCCCAGGTAATACACCCAGTTATTTTCTAAATGATCAACATCTACCCAGGAGCTCATTATAACTATACAGTTCTTCTAAAACAACAGACTTGGCACAATATGAAGACAAATATTGGCAAACACCATTAGTCTCAGGTTATATTTTAAGAAACAATAATACATTCCATGATATTTCATGAAGTTCTTTATTCTTGTTATTAAAACTTGGACTCAAGTAATCCTGGTTTTTCTGGAAAAGCACCTTGTTTGTAGGGATCATTTAATCATCCTTTTCTACAATCACCTCTCCATGAAGCACCTTTCTTCTTTGACGTAACATATGAAAATAGAGTTGTGGAAACACTTAATTGAAAAAAGAAAACAAAGAAAGATAAGCTATTGCTTTAAATTGTTTATGCCTGAAACCTGTTAAATGTGGCAGTGTTTGGAATAAAGCACGCTGTAAATCATCGCTAACCCCCTAACATTTATGAAGCTCTAGGCAAAAGTACTAACAGAGGTCTACRCACTACAGGTCTAAACATTTTAATGCAATAAACTTTTAAGAATGTTTTTGTTTGTTTTGTGTTTAGCAAACTTAAACATCTTGAGAAATACACCTTCTTAATGATCAGGAGGGCCAAGTCTGAATTTAGAATTCAGTAACACTTTGAAATGTCATGCAGGCTCTGCTGCTGCTCAAGCCATATTACCATTAACTGGATACTGGGGAAAGCAAGGGGGTAACAGTGCAGGAACACTTTCCTCGGCCCTTCTGAACTGGCTTGCATGGAAAAATCGGATACAGAATCAGGTGAAATGCTGGAAGACAACATTCTGACCATTAAGTACCCTCTGATTTTGGAAAAACTTCAAAGGTGGAGAACTCAAGGTGTTGTCCAAGTTTTATGCACAACCCTTTAAGTGATATTCTATAGATGAAATTTTCCTCTCTCCCTGCACTTACATCAGTCTATCATTTCACTGAGAAAGGGTACATAACAACCTTATTTTTTTCTCTTCTATTTCCTGCTAGTGACTATCAAAATCTTATCTAAAAATAGATCTTATTAATATTTAAATAAGATGTTTAAAGTCTCACCAATTTATTTCAACTACTGAAACATAATGAGAGGCTAGTAAAGAGGCTGAATTATTGAAAATATTTAAAGAAATATTTACTGTTTTCTAGTACACAGAGCAACACAAATAAGACTAAAAAAGTACTCCTAGATGATTTTTCCAAGTATGCTTAATGAACAGATACAAATGATCTCAAATTTTCTTGAATAGAATGTTTAGATTCAGGTACATCATTACAAATGTTTACAAACAGCATACTTTTCAAATGATTTTTCTTTAGAAAAATTTAGTGTACAAAGCACATCTATTTTTAACTGATTCTGAAAAAGCAAATACGGTGTATTAATTTACTTACCTTTTTCTTCATAGCCAGTTAAAAAGTCATTCCCCCTTCAATTATTCTAAATTATAAACAAACATAGTACTGAGCAATTTTAATGTATTTTGAGCAGTCATTAGGTTATTATGACACYTTTCTAAAATTCTGCATAGCACGTGTTAAACACAAGTACTAATAAATATATACTTACGTGGTATATATGAGGCCATGGTTATGAGAAGAAAATAATAGTAGTCAAAAGAGACATTGTATTTGTTAGGAAGTCTTATTGAAAACATTCCCGTTTTCTTCACGTACGGCAGGGCAGCATATATTGTAAGAAGTTCACCAGCAACTCCAACAGGGTATAAGATGATAAAAAAATTATACCTGGAGAAAGGAAAAAAACCTCAGAGAATTATTTTCCTGGAATAATTATTGGATTTTATAATATGGTACTTTCAAAATGAATGCATTTAAACATTGAGGTTCTCCTACAATAACTTCACATTAGTAGGTCCATTTTTCTGCTTTAATCATTTGCTCATTAACTATCATCCTTTTTTTCTAATGGCAGTTTTCATTCTAAATAGCTAGATCTTCTTAGTAAAATAAGAAGCGAACTTACTTCACTCTATTGAAATAGTTTTACACATTTAAAATTTTGGTTTTTTTTGAGACAGGGTCATGCTATGTTGCCCTGCTTGGTCTCAAACTCCTGTGTTTAATGGCCCAGCTGGCCTCCACCAACTGGGTTGTTAGGACAATAGGTGTGCTCCCCTGTGGCTCACTATCCAGTCTTTTAATTATTGTAAAGGTGTTTTCTTTGGTGCATGGGATCATAAGGGACTGCTTTTTTGCTCCCCCCCTTTTTTTTTTGCTGGTTATTTAGTGATCAAATGTTCAGTGGTTAAAAACCGCTGGTTTTGATCCTAGTGTATCTAAACCTTAAAATGTCCACAGCAGTTATCTTTAAAAGGTATTTAGAAAACTAATTACTACTATAGAACTAATAATTCTACATAAGGCATCAGTTAACTACTAAGGAGTGTGTTGTCTCAAACTGCTCTCAGAATAAAAGAAGACAAATTACTATTCAAAGAAATACACAGTTCTTTTGCTTAAAAATAGAACTGGAAATTTCTATTCAAACTCCAAAATCACCACTAGTTCATCTGTCCCCTGGCAAGGTCTCTAGCCCAGAGAGGGCCAGGCCTTGTTTATGAGGGGAACACCCTGTTTTCTCCTGGTCTCACACAGGAAGAGCCTAGGGGTTCCAAGACAATGACACTTCCACACTAAAGAAAGTATTCATTATACAGCAGTTACCATCGAAAAGTAAGGTCAAAATGTCGATGGAAAAAGAAATCAAGTCAATCTGTGTCTTATTTAATCACTGCTGGCATTTGGAAATATTTATAGAAGTTAAATTTGATGGGTTGAAGAGCGTGGAGACAACTTAAAAATCACCTGATTCCCCTGGACCACAAATATATGAGGATACGAGATGCAAGAGAACAACACAATTATTTGCCAAAATGAATTTATGGTGAAAGAAAAAAGATTCCCTTTCCTCTACCCATTTATCCTCTCCTTGGTTTTAACCCTGCTTTCTTACCAGTCTTTTGTAGTTATCTGTGCAATATTTAAATCAATATTTTTCTATCTCAAGTTAACAAAATTATGTAACTGAAAATTTTATATTCTTTTCACAAGGAAAAAAAAAACCAAACTGATTGTTTTTTATTTTATGTGGCTCTCAAATGACTTTTTGGGTAACACTGTTTTTTAATAGAAAAAAAAATCACTCCTAGAGTAAATTTCTTTAAAGCCTTAAAGATAGTGAAAATGTCCAATACAACTTATCTGACTCTACTTGTACTTTAAAAAATAATTACATGTCACTAAGTTCTGAGGGTAGACTTACAGGAGAATTAACTATTCACATTCAGAAAGATATTAAACACTGAAGATTCCCAATTGTCACCTCAAATAGTTTAGAGGGAATGCACTTTTGAAATTAAAATGGAAGGGAATTTGAAAACATAACCCACTGTACAATCATCTATTCTGTGAAGTTTTCCAAGAACACCCTTGACACATAAGCAGAATCAAAATACATTTAAATTATGTCTATAGGCCAAATAGGAAGCAATTTTTAAAGTGAAGTTTTATTTGAGAACAATAGCTTCCACATTTGAACTTAAGAACTATTATTATTTTAGATTACTGAAAGAGGTTGAAATATATTCAGACAGTGGAGATTTTTAAGATTTTTTTTTTTTGGACAGGAAATGTAATTATGGTTGTGATTAAATGACAAGGATTATAATAGCACATACATTTCAAAGATGAAAGATTTTACATTGCATCTTTTTTAACATTAAGGCAACTGACACATTCTTTTCTAAACAGAAAATTTAGGCACACGTCGGCAGTTTTGTCTTTTCTAGAAAAGCAAGACATGCAAATGCATTGCAAAAGGCACAGAGACAAACCATCAAAGATGAATGTGCATGACCTGAGGAAAATGTACAAGGTTCATTGTCACCTTCTTCAAACAAATTTCGTAAATACAGCCAATGAAAAGAGACTATGCCATGAGTTAATATTTTTAAAGACACCAGGGATCCCAAAGACTATCATGCAAAATGGTATTGATATGCATTCTAAGTCCAACTACATTCAAAACTGCCAACCCTGTAAAAGGTTCAATCATTAAAAGTGGATATATTTTTATGTAGGACACTGATAAAATCAACCAGACATCTATAAATGGTAGAGCAAYCTTCTTGTGACAGACAATATATTTAAGCTAAAAATATAATCTTCAAGAATTTTATTATGTGTAAAGTGATAAATCACAAATGTCTAAAAAATAATATTTTTAAAAGTCTGAGAGACAATATAACAGAACATAATCCTTGATCAGATCAGTGGTCATCCTTGTATAGATGGATTTTAAAGTTATTTCCTTTTTTTAAATTTATATATTCTAATKTATTATATTTGAACATGTGTAATATAGGAGCTATTAAAAAAAAGAGTAATCAATTAAGAAAAAGTGTTAGGCTCTTATGGGGATCTAAAACCAGTCTGAAACTAACAAATATCACAGTTGTTTTTTTTTTAAATAACAGAAATATAGCATTGGATATAGGACGTCAAAGCATTACTTATACTATCAGAAGACTTATTGGATATAGGACGTCAAAGCATTACTTATACTATCAGAGAACTGGTTCACTTAGAATGAGAATTGGTTCATTAGAATATTAAAGAAAGAGATCAAAATTTACCTGTACTGATTTAAAAAAAAAAGGGGGCTCCAAGATATAAACAAAAACCAAGTATAGTATCACCCTACTTATGTTTTGAAAACTAACACCTGTGTTTTCATATTTTTTCTAAGAAAGTCTGGGTGATTCTGGTTTTTCCTTCTAAAGGCAGCATGTGGGCTGGGCAGGAACTGATCATGTTTATTCTACATACTTCTGAGCTTTTTACAATGAAAACATTACTTTTCTAGTTCAACAAATTAATTTAAAAATGAAAATATTTTTACCCYTGTCATACTCAGAGATGGGAGTACATCTTGCACTTACCACCTCCTGACTTATCACRAACCTATTAGTTTTTTAACTTTTTGTCTTCTTCATGAGAAGACACCTCTGGTTGTGTTTGGTTCATAGCTGCACATCAGGTGTGCAGCCAGCATATACCAGCTGTTATTATGTTATTGCTGCTATACACACAACAAAAAGAATGGAATGGACAAATCTATACTGGTTTGTGACTTGTTCTTCAAAGAGCAGTTTTGTTTCTAAATATCTTTGTAAAATATTAGTTGCCCAAAGAATTCAAAAAGAACAGGAGCTGGGTGTGGTGGTACACACCTGTAATCCCAGTGACTTGGGAGGCTGAGGAAGGAGTATCACAAGTTTTGAGGCCAGTATTAGTAACTTAGTGAGAYTTTGATTCAAATATAAAAAGGAATGGAGATGTGGCTCAGTGGTAGARCAACCCTGGGTTCAATCCCCAAGTAGCCCCCCCCCAAAAAAAATCATCTTTTTAAAGATAATTAGCTATATCTTTGTTTTTAGAACTATTAGTTTGGGATAGATATATTTGGAACCCCTAAAATATAACTTTTGGTTCACATTCTAAATAATACAAATTTCAAGTAAATRTCTGTCTCCACTATTTAGAACAAAAGAAAAAAAACAGGTACTGTTATATAAGACATTAAAAATTGTGGMTGTCAGATTGAATATTAAAATGATTTAAATCAATCAGATAAAATACCACATATTTAGTACAGCTTTAATGTAATTCCAAAAGTACATATCATACTCTCAAAGAAAAATAAATGACTAGTTCTGAGATTACTTAAGGATTTATCTTGTTTCAATTTCACACAAAATGCATATTAACATGATTCACCTCTGATCATTAAATTAAGCTTCTAGAATACAAGTTATAACACTGCTAATAACTAGAACAACCGCATTCTGGCATCGTGAGCTGCAACACAAATTTTAATTCTCCAGTGTTAGCTCAGCACACAAAAAGCATGCACAGGATGGTGAAAAGCTAAACTGCAAGACATCGCCACCTGGCCCATTTAATGAAGTATGGCAAGTGGTCGAGAAGACTGAATGTGTAGAAGGAATAGCGAGTGATCTCAGTCACCGTCCACGACACCAGAAAAAGCACCACACTCTCCTCATTCTGGATCTGCAGAAGTACAGAGAAATCCAGTGTCGTTCAACCCTGAACTTACTTTTCAAAAATGAGATGCATCTTAATTATTTTGATTATTTATTGTTTTTTATTATTAAAATGGACTTGGTGGGGGGGTAGGCAAATGCAACACAGAAAACTTAAGGCAGTTACCACCGTATAATTAGCTATTAACATGGAAGTTAAGTACTTCCTACTCACAGGAATGGTCAACTATTTACTGACTTTTCTCCCTCATCCTTCAYTCCAGCCAGTAACTTCAACCATCATCTCCTTGAAAGCAGAATGGCAACAATCGGACTCTCCAATATTCTATTAGTCATCCAATCAYAACATCACACATATTCTACTATGATACTAACTCTGTAATCTGCCCCCGRGTCTTTGTCCTGATTACCACTATGTTAATTCAGCACCTTATCATTTCTTATGCAGACTACTGTAACCATCTCCTAAATAGTTTATCCTCTATTTTCCTCATGGATGAAAATTTTCTCTTAAAAACAAAACAAAGCAAACAAACAAAAAAATCAGCTAAATCTTAATGATTTAAAAGCTTCACTGCTCCCCTGTTGCTAAATGGGGTAAAGGGATAAATCCTATAACCTTAAGCATAATATCTAGGATCCCTTACAATCTGAGCTCAGAAACCTGTCCAGCTTCATCTACAATCATGCAATCTTCCCATCTGCTTCTCATTGTGGTAACACTAAACTTTGGGTAATTTCCAGAATATACTCTGAATATTTGGGTCTTTACACATTATTCCATCTGATTAGAATGTTTCCCATAGAAAATCTTTCCTCATCAGCTAAAAGATTATACCCTCTGGAAAACTTTCCTAAGTCTCTCCTCGCACCTGAGCAGTTACTTGCTCACCTTCCTTGTGCTCACAGTATCTTGTTTGTATATAACACGTGCCAATCTGTATTAAAATTTCTTCTGGCTAATTTTAAAGCACTTAACACTAATATAATTAAATAAGCGTTTGTGTTACCACTTACTTAGCTTCTCTCTTAATTTGGGGCTCCCTGAGATGGGAACTATATTTGTGTTATAACAGCCATATCCCACAGTGTCAGGCATTGAACAGCTGCAGTTAGTACCTATTCCATGAGTCAATGCTTGTTGAACTGCGCCTCCCCCCCCAACTTCCCAATAGCCAGTACCTTGACAGCTTGTATTACCTTATTTATTTTTGTAAATCCAGAAATTAGAACTCTGCTAAGTGTACCAAATGTGTTCAATAAATGTTGAATTAATTAAGAAGTGGCTGATAGGTGCCAATGGAAAACTATTATGAGACAAAAAGAAAAAGTAATATTAAGGGGAAGATTCTCTAAATAAAAGGAAGGATCCTTTTTTTTTTTCCTCTTTGGAACTTGCCACTCCATAGCAGCAGCACTTTAATTCCTTCTCTCTCTAGTGCATGTTGGCTTTCCTATCTTTGTCTTTCTACTCCCTCATTCTTCAGATCCTCTGTGGCCTGGAAGAGAGAGTCTAGGCTGTCTTTTACTCTAATAATGTTGTATTCCTGCTTTTAAATTGGGAAGCAATCAGAATCAACGAAAAGGCTGCCTGCCTCTCCCTGCAGCCCATGCTCACAGCTATGGGTACTGCGGTCAGTGGTTAGGGACTGGGTGGATCCAGAAAGCGGAGTGAAAGACACCAGTCAAGAGGGCTAAAAGTGTGGAGTAGTAAAAGGGCGTAAGGTCAGAGATCTGTCCCCACGCAGACAGGCGGCCAGGGAGGCTAAGAGGAAATGGAGAGGAGGTTAGGTGTCAGTCTCAAAGCACAGAGGAGACAAGAAAGGCATCTGCAGAATGGAAAGGAGGCCAGAGATCTGTCCTCAAGTAGACAGTCGGCTACCAGGGCTGTCAAGAAGGTCAGAGGGGTCGAGCAGGGAAATRTTTCCGTAGTAGGTTTAAAAAGCCCAGGGCCTTGACAGCATCAGCCTGGTATTTGTTTTATCTAAAAAGACTTAAGCCACTAATTAGACTCAGTAATTAAGTCTGTCTCTTTTCATGCTTCCATAAATAATATTTTCTCTAAGTGTTTTGACCCTACCTTTTTAAAGATTATGCTTTAATTGACAAGTTAAAATGGCACGTATTTGGGCTGGGGCTGTAGCTCAGTGGTAGAGCGCTAGCCTAGCACGTGTGAGGTACTGGGTTTGATCCTTAGCTCCACATAAAGATAAATAAAAGTTAAAAGATACTGTGTCCCTCTACAACTAAAAATAGATTTTTTTAAAAATTGCATATATTTACACTGTAAAACATGGTGTTTTAAAATACGTAGACGTTATGGAATGGCTAAAGCAAGCTAATTAACAAGTGTACTCCTTCATATATTTGGCATTTATATGTGGTGAGAACACTGAAAACCTACTGTTGTTAGAAATACCTTTTAATTAACTACATTTCCCATATTGTACAACAGATCTCTTGAACTTATTCCTCTTGTTTAACTGAGATTTTGTACCCTTTGATTATTTTTTTTTAAAAACCTCACTTTTAATTTAGTCTTTTCCATTTGTTCAGACCCACTACATTTACTTTTTGACTGTGCAAGAATACTAATGCTAACTGAGGAAAAATAAACTGTTTATACTGACAACTTCAATTATATAATCAAAGAGAATCACTTTAATAGAAAAAAAAAACTTCAATAGAAAATTTTCACTTAGGTATCTGACAGAAGATGAATGTTAATTTTAAAAGCCACTATAAACATCAGAGAAGAGTATATTATGGGTAAAAATGTCAATAATTTGGTTGTTTATTTTTCAAAGTCAGTCTATCACAGCACRAAATCAACATAGAATGATACTTAAATTTAAATCCAATTCTTTTTTGCCTAAATACTCTGCTTCCTGAAATATGCAAATGTTAATATTTTAGACATCTATTCACTGCAGGCTCAAGAACACAGCATGTTTATGTTACTTACCGGTTTTATACTGTGAGTAATAAGCCACACCATAAAGATTCTTGAACTCACTTGGACCCCAGTCACAAGCACAGAAGTAGGCACAATTCCTTGAAGAGAAAAACAAGTCAACTATTGCCCTAAAGACAATTCAAAATGAAAAGATAAAATTAGAGTAAAAACTCACCAATTAAACAGTGGACTATCTGTAAGCAAATAAAAAAAAATCAAAAGTCAATAATATAAAAATAACTCCCTTTCAACACTGGTATTAAACCAATCTGTAAGTGGTAAGTAGCAAAATAAGATTGACACTAATCAACAAAAATATTTTCAAAAAAATATTGGAAGATAGAAAAATAGCATGATAGAAAACTTACCTCAAGCAAGGCAAATGTCTGGAAAAATTTAAGTGTCTTCTGAATACTTTTATATAAACCTCTGTGTGTTCCTTTTTCCATATAAAAACGTACCATGGCAATAGCTAGAACCAACCACCTAGAAAAAAAAGTATTTTATAAAGTTCTATTAAATTCATACCACTGAATGTTCGGGGCAGCATTATCCACAACAGTTATAAAGCAGAAGCAACCCAAATGTCCATCAATTATTTATTATTCATTAATAATAATAATGATTAATTATTCATCACTGAATGAATAAGCCATGGTCTATCCATACAATGGAATATTACTCAGCCTTAAAAAGGAAGGAAACSATGACACATGCCATGATGTGGATGAACTATAAAGAAACAACAATAAGTGAAATATGCTAGGGGCATAGACAATGATAATGGCTGCATAACAATGTTAATATGCTTAATGCCACTGAACTGCACATTTTAAAAAGGTAAGATGGTAAATGTTATGCATATTTTACCACAATTTTTTATTTGTTCTAATTATACATGACAGAAGAATGCACTTTGAYATATCATACATAAATGGAGTATAACTTTCTTCTGGTTACACATGATGTAGAATCACACTGGTCACATAATCATCTATGCACATAGAGTAATAATGTCCAATTCATTCTGTTATCTTTCTACCTCCATACCCCCTCCCCTTCCTTCATTCCCCTCTGCCTAATCCAAAGTAACTCTGTTCTTCTCTAGCCCCATGTCCTACACTTATTGTGAATTAGTATCTACATATCAGAGAAAACATTCAGCTTTTGGTTTGGGGGGATTGGCTTATTTTGCTTAGCATGACAGTTTCTAGCTCCATCCATTCACTGGCAAATGCCATCATTTCATTCTTCTTTAAGGCTGAATAATATTCCATTGTGCATCTACACCACATTCTCTTTACCCATTCACCTACCAAAGGACACCTAAGTTGGTTCCATAGTTTAGCTATTGTAAGTTGAGCTGCTATAAACATTGATATGGCTGGATCACTGTAGTATGTTGTTTTTAAGTCCTTTGGGTATAGACAAAGAAGTGGGATAGCTGGGTCAAGTGGTGGTTCCATTCTAAGTTTTTCTAAGGAATCTCCATACTGCTTTCCAGAGTGGTTGCACCAATCTGCAGTTCTATCAGCAATGTATGAGTGTGCCTTTTCCCCCCATATCCTCGCCAACACTTATTGTTGCTTTTATTGCTGATAGCTGCCATTATGACTGGAGTGAGATGAAATCTTAAAGTAGTTTTGAGGGGCTGGGGCTCAGCGGTAGAATGCTCATCTAGCACATGCGAGGCCCTGAGTTCGCACCTCAGCACCACATATAAATAAAATAAAGGCATTGTGTCAACAACAACAACAAGATATATATATATATATATATATATATATATATATATATATGTTTTTAAAAAGTAATTTTGATTTGCATTTCTCTAATTGTTAGAGTTGATGAACACTTTTTCATATATTTATTGATCAATTGTATTTCTTCTTTAATGAACACAAAAGCAGAAAAGGCATTATTATATTGATTCTGCAAGGGCAGGAATAGAACACATGAGACCAACCAGAGAAGACATTGTCCAGTGTATTTCTGGATTCAGAAAACAGTTTTATGTACCAAAAATGAGACTATCATATAGCAGTTAATAAAATTATGTGACGGTGTCATGAGGTAAAAATCTGTCAAAAGCTGCACTTGTGTGTATAAATACATATTTTATGCAACTATGTAATATATACGGGTATAAGTAGAAATCTTGAATAAGAATCATCAGTTACTATTTACATAATTTTCACAGAATAAAAATAGATGCTATACCACAGAAAGGGTAGACAGAAGATCAGACATGGTCTACCTTCAAAAACTTTTAAGAAACCTCCCAAAATACATTAACCCTCACTTTTCAGCTTACCTTCATATATTAAATACAGATTCTGTTCCACGAATTAACTGTACTTAAAATATACGCCACACTCTGGCCATTAGCTTTCTCATACTTCTTCTCGCTATTCCTTGAATAACCAATGAGAAGTAATTTGTTTTTTCAGAGTTTCCCTTACAAACACTAAAGCATGCTGAAATTGAAAAAAAGTTGCCTCATTTGTCCTGTTTTAAAAGTCTGAATAATACACCCATGAAAATGACGAGCTAGCCTAGTCCTGTAGATCAGTCTTCAAAGCGTCCAGTTGAACAGTTTTATGAATTATGAAATTACACAGTTTTAAGTTTTTAACTAAACAACCCTCCTACCATGGACAGACAGCTTAAAAGTTTCCTGCAAAAAACTACTGGTTGAATGGAGTGAAGACACAATTCAACAGAACAGTAAGAACAGTAAGAACATGGCGGGATGACACTCCCACTCCTAGAATTCCTCCTTAGCATATACCCAAGTAAGAGCAATGACTTTCTTATCAGATACAACAGGAAGTAAATGAAATGATCAGACATCTGAAATGCAGAAATATTGATAACAAYAATAATAATAAGCATATCTTAGATTGCTTTCTATGTTCTAGACACTGTTACATATTCATAATTAATTCTATAATAACCATATCAGGTATTATCCTATTTTACTGCTGAGAACACAAAATCAGTCTGCTTGGACCTAAAACTACCAGGGTCTAAAACCATCAGAGGCTCTGCTTTTAAACACTATGTTGCATTGATCTGATCTTAAGTATGTACTATATCCTTAGATAGGAGCTGATCATAGTAATTCATACTTTAATTCATACGACTGATACATCATGAAAATTATATGGGGAGGTCTAGGCTCAAATATTTTAACTCATAGTATTCTGCTTTCAAAAAAAAGTTTGAAAACCACTCTTTCCGATGAGATAATCATCATCCAGAGACATTTAAGTTATTGACCCCTAATCTTAGATTAAGTTAACCAACAAGGCTTCACTAGAAACTCTGAGGTCTCCAAACTGCCAGTCTTGTTCTTTTTCCATTATACAACTGCTTCACTGGATTCCACTCTTGGATTCTTCTCATGTGAATGTCAACACCAAATTCAATGATGGGCTAATCCTAGAATGCTAACTTGAATGTTTTAGGTACCTTTCAGGCTKAAAATGTTAGGAGTTCATTAACCACAATCCCAAGTCTCTATGCTTCTGATAAGAAAACAAAAAGCTCAATGAGCTTAATAAACTTAAACATTTTCCCATACCCTTGTCCTTGTTTAGGCAAACTCAACTCAGATGTCTATARAATATAAATCTGAGATATAATTATTAATTAAAAATTAATCTGATATAATTTTTCCAGTATACAACTGCTTCACTTAGCATAAGAATTATGCTAAGTGAAAGAATTCATTGAAGAATTAATTTAAATGGCAAGTTTTCCAAATTTTTAATAGCATTATGCAAAAAAAAAAAAAAACTCATGCATTCTAATGAAAAGTTTTACTGTTGTTCCATAGGTGGCAGTATTGTACCAATAAGCATAGCAATCGCTACACTGTTCAAAATAAATGAATATACTCCAGGGTTCAAAAGAGTCATGGAACTATCTATTCTAACTGCTTCTCTCTTTTTCAGTAAATAAGGCCATGATCTACTCTAAACTAATTAGAACTCACATCCTAAATGCCCCCATCAAAAGAAATGACAAAGTTTTTCTAAGGATCCTACATTTAACTAACTTTGGACGTCCTTCATCTATCAGTTCAGTCATTTAATAAAACAAAAAAATTAAAAAGTAACTAGAATTTCTGACACTAGAAATTGTTTTCTGGGATGTTCTATTCTGTTTTGTTTGTAAATATGTCACAGCTATTTATTACCTGAACCCAAATAGAGGCAATCAATCAGCCCTTGGTAAAATAGAATCTCTGGCAAAAAGAAAAAAAAAAAAAAAAGTTTAATATAAAGATTTCTTGCTTGCTAAATTCATTCATTTATTCATTCATCTTTCAGATTCAACATTTCTTGCTAATCTGGCACTGAGCTAGATGCTAGGGAACTAGAGATAAATAGGACTTAGTTTTTGTTTGGGGGAACTATTAAATTAGTAAGTGAAGATAACAGAACAATGCTATCACAAGAAAAATGTGGCATAACTTACACAACACAGAGGCCTTGTTCTCAAGCCACTGTGGCTACAATGACCCTCGGAGGCCTATTGAAGGGGCACGTCTTTCTTCCAGCTATCTTCCAGGGCTTCTTTTTCTTCTGAGATTTCTTGGAGACTGACCACCTGTTCCCTGAAAAACTTAGTTACCTATACTTATATCTCCTTTAAGAAAAAAATCTAACATTCTGTAAGCAGTTTCAAACATATAGAGAAAGGTAAAGAATGATATAACAAACCCCTCCATGTGCCCATGACCCAGCTTCAACAGTTAATATCTTATGGAAAATCCTGTTTCATCCAAATCTCCACTTCCTTCTCTTCCCTGATTATTTTGAAACAGATATCCAATATCCAATGATTTATAAATGTTTCATTATGTATCTCTAAAATGATTTTATGGGGAGGTACCAGGTTTTGAATCCAGTGGCATTTAACCACTGAGCCACATTCCCAGCTTTTTTTATATTTTATTGAGATAAGTTCTCATTAAGTTGCTTAGGGCCTTGCTCAATTGCTAAGGCTGGCTTTGAACTTGTAATCCTTCTGCCTCAGCCTCCTGAGCCACTGGGGTTATAAGCGTGTGCCACTCATGCCCGGCAGTGATATGATTATTTTAATAAGCAAAGCTATAATATCACTATATTTGATGTTAAAAAATCAATGTCATAAAATATTAAGACAAGCTATAATTTTGATTGTTTCATAATCTTTTAAAATCATGACTGAAACAGGATTCATATACTGTAATTATTGGTTAAGTCTCTCATGACTCCTTCAATAAGTTTCCCCTCTCCATCTTGCCTTCCCTCTATCTCTTTTGCAGTTTATCTGTRAAACACTGGGTGGTTGTTCCTGAAGAGTTACCCTCAGCCTGGATTTTGCTAACTGGATACCCACGTGTCATTTTATTATGTTCTGTCTCTGTATTTCCTGTAAATTGGTAAGTAGTTATCTTGATCAGATTCATGTTTGATCCTCTGGCAAGGCTTTCAAAGGTTGTTTTGGTTCTTCTATAAGGAGCACATAATTTCTTAATGTTCCTCTTTTTTTTTTTTTTTGCAGTTACTGATGTGCATTACCTAGATCCATCATTTCAAGAGTTTTTGAAATATGATATTCTAATTTGTCATAACTTCTATGTTTCTCCTTTAAAGCAATCCTTTGGAGGAATGTATGAAAAATRGTCTTCACTTTCACACATCTTTACTTTCATACATTGTTCATTAATACCCCTAAACTGCCTTTAGTACACTAAATCTGTACTTTCTTTTGCAGCCAACATATGAGTGTTTCCACTGAGAGCACACAGGCACTCATGCCAATAAAAAGTTCAGCCCAAAGGTTCAGACAAAAAAAAAAAGTCTGATAAGCTGGACTCAATTATGATTTAGACCACTTGCTGTTTGAGAGGCACAGCTAAGTAAATGAAAGTCAAGTCACAACTCAGAGAAAATATTTGAAAATCACCTGTCTGGCAAGGAACTAAATCTAGACTATATGAAGAACTCTTTAAAAAAATCAGCATGAGGAAACCAAACAATGCACTAAAGAAAAAWACTGACAAAATAGTTAAACAGATACTAATACCCAAGAAGACATACAAATAGCAAGTAAGCACATAAAAAAGATATGCAGTATCATTAGTCACTAAGAAAATGAAAGCTAAAACCACAGTGAGACAATATACTTASTGGATGTCTAAAGTCACCATGACAGGCCATACCAAATGCTGGCAAAGATGTACAGCAACTGCAAGCCTTATTCATTGCCCAAAGGAAGGTAAAAATGGTACAACTCCCACGGAAAACAGTTCTGCAGTTGCTTAAGAAATTAAACATGTGACTATTACATGACACAGTCACTCCACTTACAGGTATTTATCCAAGAAAAATAAAAGCATATGTCCATATACTGACTTCATACATGCATGTTCACAGCCTTAATTATGATTGCCCCAAAGTGGAAAGAACCCAAATGTCCATCAACAGATGAATAGATAAACAAATTGGGGTAAATCCACATAATCTATCCTCCCCAGCAATAAAAGGTATCTAAAAGGCATATGTATTATGTAACACTTAATAAGTACACTATAGAAATATTTTAAATAGTTTTCTTTTTTGCAAAAAGTGCAATTTTAAACACGGGAGTCAGGAATTAATATTTTTAAACATTAAAATATTATGTTCCTGTGCATTAGGCACCTTGCTAAGAACCTCAATTCTATTCTCTTTATTCTTTGTAACAATTTTACAAAGTAGTTGTTTCATTCCAATTTTACAGATGAAAAAACTAAGGATCAGAGACGTTAACTTGTCCAAGGTAACCCAATTAACAAAACAGTGAAAAAAATCATTTAATTGACACTGCCCAGTACTGCTGACAGATTAAAACTCAAACACACCAGCAAAATATCTGAGGCCCTGAGAAGTGGCCCAAGCTAGGTAGCTTGGGCCATCWGCACTTCCCATTCTACATGTCAGGCCTGTTTGGTTTTGCCTCAATGGATATCTAGCAACTTCACATCACTACCCTAATTCATGTTGTTTTCTCATTCACGCCAATTAAGTCCTACTTATCCTTCAAAGCTCAGTTTAAATGCTATGATCTCCTTCACAAAATTCTCTCTGATTCTCCTTCCCTAGGTCTGTCCTCTGACACCTTTGTCAAACACTTATCTCAGTCTGTCCTTTTGTTGCAATCATTGTTTATATATAAATGCTCCAGGTTACACTTCAAGGACAGGCCTAGAATATTTATCTTATGTCCCCTACTTGACCAAGGCCAATGCATTTACACATATAGTCTCAAAAATATTTTGTTGCTTTTTTTTTAAGGAAACAGAGAAAGAATGAATATRAGAATTGCTCATCTGCCTAGTCAAGACCCCATTATGAGCAAGTACTATGAAAATACTTCAGAGCTCGGTTTCCACTCCTGGGAACTTATCCAAAGCATTCAACAATAACAATGTTGAATGTAGGAAATCCAATGTAGGAAAGGGAAAGAAATAAAAGCAAAATGCCATTAGGGACATGATTTAATCTGTCACTGTACATTAATGCTACATACTTATATAACCGTGAAAAGATGTAATTATAAAAACTATATAGAAACATTTGTTAAGTGCAAACAGGAGTATACACAATAGAGCAGCTATTGTAACAACAATGCCTTAAAATATGTATACATTCATTCATTCAATAAATATTTACTGAGTATTGCCTTAAGTTTATACTCCAATGGGGACAACAATAAGCAATGAAAAATTAGTAAAATATGTGGTACAGTTACAGGTTCATATATGGGATGGAGAAAAATAAAGTAGGCAAGGGAGAGGAGTATTAGCATGTAGGTTGCTATCTGTATGAAGATGCCCAGGTAAAGCTTCCCTTAGTAGGGAGATTTGTAATTTGGAAGTTAGACACTCATATGAAAGGTGATAAGGAAAAAAAAAAGTTTATGCTAGTCTTATAGAATTAGACAAGTTCTTTTTTACATTTATATAAATATTTGTTACATTTCTTAAATACTATTTTGTTTTCAAAGTTGTTACAAAAAACGAATAAGCACTCCAAAGTTCCACTGAAAGAGAAATATGTTAAATGAACAAAAAGAACCACCCTCCATTAATCCTCTACTACTTCATTAAGTGGATTTATTTTTGTACCAATATTGACACCACCACTTCTCCAATCCCATTTACCACTAATCCCCAACATGATCCTCAGATTTAAGACAAGGTACCAGGCTTGCAACTCATGCTTATTTCTAGAATTCATCTAACTTGAAATGTCTACCTTCAGTGTATGAATGCAAATCCTATTCTTCAAATATCAATGCATATAGAAAGTCTCCACTAAGTCTCTTAGGGATTACTCCACTTTGGTTACCCTGGCCTTATGAAAATGCCAAGGGACTAAGAACTTCTTAGGCAGAGAATAGGTAAGTTTAGACTAAGCACTGGTTTGCAGAGGATGGTAGGGAAGACAGGAATGATGTATTAGAACACAAAGAAGAAGGCATTTAATTCTGCCACAGGAGAGGCAGAAGACTTAGAAAACTACAAATAGGCTGACTTGGTTAGAAGACATGGGCAAAATAAGGAGAGCACCGTGCAAAGAGAGAAGAAACTGGGCAAACATAGCAAGGACCACAAAAATGCTTGGTGCTTTGAGGAATAATAGAGATTTCAAATGTAAGAAGACTGCAGGGGAAATTGGGCTTGAGTGACAGCCTAAATCCCTTAGAGTGGAGGTATAAAGTCACTAAAGGCTGGTTTTTATTTATTCGTATTTATTCTTATTTCTTCTCACTGAAGGCTTTAAAATGCAATGTCTGAAATGGTAATCTGACCTTCAAAGTGGAGAATGGACGTAAAGGGAAGAGACAGCGAATGAATTAACACAAGGCACATGTTCTAAAGATGTTTATTAAATTAATGAAATTATCCAAGAACAGAGAGAAATCTTTCAGTCCTGACTGCATTTCAAGGCAGCATCACATGGTGAGCACTAAATTGTTCTCCATTTGCTTTGAATATATTAGTTTTGTCTCCTGTCAAGATTATAAAACTGAGGTTGTAGCTCAGTGGTAGGGCACTTGCCCATCATGTGTGAGGCACTGGGCTGTTCCTCAGCACCACATTAAAAAAAAATAATAAAATAAAGGTATTATGTCCTTCTACAACTAAAAAAAATATTTTTTAAAAAAATTATAAAACTTARGAAAGCACAAAGATGAAGTAGGACAACTCTAGGTGCTGTTTGTGATCTTGACCTGAGTCTCAGTTTCCTACCTATAAAATGTAGTATCATGTGCCTTTGCAGGATGTGGAGAACTAGAAACAGTTAATACATGTAAACCACCAGCACAGTACCTGGTACATAGCAATCCCTCAATTAATATATATTTATACACTATTTTTGGTGTTCAGCATAATAGGCTAAGCTTATAATACCGCACTAAAAGGTTTATTAAATCTTTATCAATCATTTTTTTCTATAAGCCCTGGAAAAAGTTTAAAATAGTAAACCTCTCCTCACATTTATATAGGTTAATAATACTTTGTGTGACACTAGGAAAAATCACTTTTCAAAAGGCGATGTAATTTTGCAACTGAAAAGCATTTTCTCACAGGTTTTGGGAACAAATTGACACAGAAGTCATCAACACAGCTCTTTGAAGAGCGAACAGTTATTGTGTAAATCTCACTTGTAAGTCATAATAGGAGCCAGAAATAAAAAGGACAGGGTATCAGCAATGGAACGTGGAGCCATTAAGATGCTGGACACAAGTGTCGTGCTCTGATAAGACAAGGTTTAAAAAAAAAAAAAAAACTATTCCACATAAGAGGTTCTAAGACATACGATGCTTTCAATTTAATTAATTAATGAAAAGTTACGGCGAAATTAACAGTGAAGAAAAACTGCCCTCGGATCTGCAGCACCAGGAAACGCACGCTCTGCTCCGGCGGCCCTCAAAGCGGATTCGCAGTCCGTGAGGGCAGCTCGGGGCTCCGGGGTGGCAGGACCACAGCAGCCCAAGGCGGCGGCAAACCGGGTGACCCGGCCGCGGCCGCCTCCCCMGCGGGTCGGCCCCGCATTCCTGCCCCGGTCTATACTTAACCTCCGGCCCGCGCCCCGCGGCCGCTGCGACGCGCCGTGCACCGTATTAGGCAATGCCCAGCAAGCAGCGCCCGGCTCCCCCGCCCGCCCCGCTCCCTCCATTCAACCCGGGCGGCGGCTGTGCAGGCGCCCGCGCCCCTCCCCCATGGCCACCGCCCGCGACCCCGGCGCCGCGCCCACCCCCGCGCCGCCACCGCCGCCGCCAGCCCGCAGCCGGGTCCGCGCGCACCCCATGCGCCMGAGCCGCTCGCTGCCGGAGCCGCGCCTTCCCGGTCCGCACCCCGCACCCTGCTCCCGGCAGGTCGGGGGGCAGCAGAGCGAGGAGGGCCTGTGGGTGGTGAAGGACCTTCGGGGCTCACGTACCCTGCGGTCATGGCGATGTTGTAGAAGGTGAGCCAGGCGGTGGCCAGGAAGCTGAGGCGCCTTCTCCTGCCGGTGGTTTCCTTCTCCTCACCGGCCTCTGAGGCACCGCCGTTGGTGCCGTCCTCCTCGCTGGACGCCATGGTGGCCGCGCTCCCGGGGGACGTGGAAAAGAGGGGCAGGGGAGTGGGAGGGGGCTCGGCGGAGCACGCCACTGAAGCGCTGCTGCCCGCTGCCGCCGCCTCGGTCAAGCGCCCCATGTGCCGCGCGCAGGGGGCTCAGCGCCGTCAGCTCGGCCKTCCGCGAGGGGGAGGAGCGGGCGCCCCCGGCCGCCGCCGACGCCCCGCCCCTGTCCCCGCTCCCGCCTCTCGGGAGAGCGCCAGCCTGGGGGCCGGTCCGYAGGGCCTGGGCAGTGGGGCCTCTGGTCCGCGAGCCCCTAGTCACTGTTCGCAGGAGGCGCTGTGGTTTGCGCTTCCTTGGAGAATATATCGGCTTGCTAGCTGGGGAAGCGTCTTCCTAGAGAGACTCCAGACGTCCTGCGCCCTGGTGATGTGCACCTTGCTGCAAACTTACTTGTAAAGCAGTTTCTAGCCGTGGAGTMCAAAAGTGGGGTCTTCCCGCCAAAGATTCGTTGTCTTCTGGGGAAGAAGCACCCCTTCTCCCCGTTTCATTTTTGCTGGCTAGATGGCCWTGTAGAAGGTGAATTATTACAATGAGACTGCCCCCACTTCGGTGGATTCTACCRGAGTCGTTGAGATAGCTGTTCAGCGCAGAATGATGGATGGTTTGGGGAAGGTAGAGGAAAAGAGGACATGAGAAAACACCCAAAAAGAAAAGTTTGAATCGGACATGATAGAGCACTCCTGTAATCCCACCGATTAGGGAGGCTGAGTCAGGAGGATCACAGGTTCTAGGCCAGCCACAGCAATTTAGCAAGACCCTATCAAAAAAATAAACAATGAAAAGGGTTGGGCAAGTAGCTTAGTGGTACAAGCGCCCCTGGGGGCAATCCCTAGGGCCAAGTGGGGCGGGGATAGGGAGAGTTTGAACAGATAATTAGGTAACAGAGTCCTGAAACTAATCAGAACTCTTCCCAGCCAGCCAAGAAGAGTATCCCACTATTGGCATCCCACTATTCTCTATTCTATGTATCTCTTTCATTTTTTTTTTCTCTCCTTCTTCCTTTCAAGATCCTTGCTTTCTCCTGGTAGTTCTCCCTTCTTTCCCCTTAAAGCACATGGTTTAAGACGACAGGCTCTGGAGTCAGGTTACTGAAATTGAAACCCTAAATTCCTGACTCCACCTGTCTTATTAGCAGTGTGAATGTGGGCAACTTAACCTCTCTATTCCTCAGTTTCCTCACTGAAGGTAAGAATAATTTAAAAATCTATCTCACGGAGCTGTTTGTGAAAAACATGCACAGGCCCCCAAAGAATTTGTCACCTGAAACTAGTGTGTTTGCCATCATTCTGGTGACACATCTCCCTTAGTCCAGCGAAACAAATTCTGCACAAACCTACAGAAGCTATCAGCAAGTTGAGTTTTCCTGGATTGCTTCCAAGCCTAGCCATGAACACCAGGGAAAGGACCACCGTACCACCSCTAGACGCCAATTTAGGGGCTCCTTGGCTTGTTCGGTCATCCCAGATGGCACCCAAAGAGAGAAATGCAGGACCCAGTATGGTTTGGTCTCGCTCTGAGAGCCTCTCCCAGGTGGCACTATCTGCCCACTCTGGGGAATTTAGAAAACTTCCAGGAAGACCAAAGGAAGAAGAAAGCAATAGGGTGGGAACAAGGCATGTATTGGAAAGAAACAGCTGAAAAATTGTTCAAATTTGATGAATACCATTGAACTCTATAACAAGGCTATCAAATCAGAAAGCAGGAAATGCAACCATGTACTTACAAATGATAACATTGAATAATTAGAAGAATAATAGGAGATCCTTAGGATCCGAAGGGAAAAAGCTACTAAAACTAGAGACAGGAAACAAGGACAGCGTGACAAAAATAATTATTGTTCTAYATACCAGCAAAAAAAGAAAAAAGAAAAATTAGGTTTAAATCCATACAGTATTTATTACCATCCCCAAACATTAACTATATAGGGATAAATTCAACAAAACATGCCCTACACCTGTAACTAAAAACTGTAACTCACTACTGAAAACCATAAATCACTGCTGAAAGAAATAAACAACCATTGCATGTTACTGAGTTGGAAGACTCAGTACTATGAAAATGTCAATTCACCCCAAATCCCTTTTAACTTGGCAAGCTAACTTTAAGAGTTATACGGAAATGTATGGGAAGAACAAAAATGGAGCAGGTACAGAATTAATTTTAAACCTTATTCTGAAACTACAATTTTCAATTCAGTGTGGTAGGCATAAAGAGAGACATAGATCGATGAAACTGAATCGTAAGAGTCCAGACATAGAGCCATCTGTATAGAGTCAACTGATTTCATTCAAATAGTTAAGATATTATTCAGGTGCAGTGGCACAGGCCTGCAATCCCAGCTTCTGGGGAGGCTGAGGCATGAGAATCACAAGTTCAAAGCCAGCCTCAGTAAAAGCAATTCAGTGAGACTCTGTCTCTAAATAAAGTGCAAAATAGGGTTGGGGATGTGGCTCAGTGGTTGAGTGTCCCTGAGTTCAATCCTCAGTATCAAAAAATTTTTTAAATGATAAGAAGAAGAATTAAGGTGTTTCTATGTAGAAAGTATAATCTTTTTAATAAATGGAACAATTGGATATCCGTATAAAAATGAATCTTGACTCTATATCATAGGCAAATATTAGCTAGAAATGGATGATAGAGCTAACCATAAAAGCTAAATCTATGAAACTTCTAGAAGGATACAACAGAATCTTTATGACCTTGGAGAAAGTAAAGATTTCTCAAGTACAAGGGGGAAAAAAAGCAATAATCTAAAAATTAAAAAAAGATTGAATTCATCAAAAATGTAAAAATTTACTGTTTTAAAAACAACATTAAAAAGTGAAAATATTCACAATACATTTACCTAACAAGGAATTTGTATCCAGTTATATAACAAATTCTTATAACTCAATAGAACAATCTCATTGTTTAAAATGAACAAAAAGTTTGAATAGATACTTTACAAAGAAAATATAGAAGTAGTCAACAGGATACGCAAAGGTGCTTGATCTTATTAGTCATTTTGGAAATTCAAATTAAATCCACAATGATATGTTACTACACCACCACTAAAGTGACTAATGTTTCAAAATGTTGGCAAAGATGTGAAACAACTGACATTCTCATACAAGGGTAAAGAGAACACTGATTTGGAAAACAATTTGGCAATTTCTTGAAAATATCTGTATGTATACCTTTACCATATGATTCAGCAATTTTGTTCTTGATATTTAAGAAAAAGAAATAAAAACATATTCACACAAAGACTTGGATACAAATGTTCATAGCAGCTTTAGTTATAGCACCCCAAACTAAAAATAACCATGTGTCCATTAACATGTGATTAGACAAAGTTTAGTGCAATCATACAATAGGATATTACTCAGCTATAGAAAGGAATAAACTACTGTATGTGCAACATGAATAAACCGCATAAACTTTTTGCAGAGCAAAAGAAGCCAGACACAAAATATTACATAGTATATGATTACTTTTATGTGGAACTCTGAAAAGGGAAAATCTAATCTGTAACTACAGAGCTGCCTAGGGTTAGGGATGTTTGTGGGGAGAATAGATTAAGAATAAGCACAGGAATACCTAGGGCAATGCAAATCTTCAATATGTTGATTTTTGGTAGTTATATAGGTATAAATATTTGTCAAAACATCATATTGAATACACAAATTGAATTCACTCCATGTGCAAACTAGTACTTACAATTGATTTTTAAATGTCATGAATAGCAAGTATTTTAAAGTAAAAAATTCATCATATTATTGATATGTTTAACATAAAACCTCAATGTTGTGGCAGAGAGAGTTTGTATTTTGTGGTTAATACTTTCTCTTTCAAATATGCCTTTAACACATTGAATCTGACACAAGATGACCTCATTTTCACAATGGTTATGTTTTGTACAAAGTTTGATATAATAACATTTTGAAAAAAACTACTAAAGACACTATGAATAAATAATATCAGCAGATTTGTAAAATTGTCCTTTAAAAAATGAATAAGGTACGATGGTGTACCAGTTATYCCAGTTACTAGGGAGGTGGAGAGAACACTGGACTGAGACTAGCATTAGCAATTTAGTGAGATCCTGTCTCAAACTAAAAAAAGGCTGGGGATGTACATTAGTAACAAAGTACCCCTGAGTTCAATCCTTAGTACCACAAATTAAAATATATACATAAAATAATAATTTACTATGCATCAGTTATAGATAGGTGAGATCAAAAGAAAAAGAAAAATGAGGGCCTATCCTAATGAAGCTAACTGTTTTATAGTGGATAAAAAAATCTTCCAAATAAATGTATTCCAAGATGTGTTAGTAATATACTGATGTGCAGGCAGTCAGCCCAATCTCTTTATTTTTTATTTTTTTTAATTGATGTGAAAACTGAGGCTCAGTGAAGTCCTTTGAGAGCTTATCTAGAATCTCATTTAGAACAGAATTAGTCATACAAATTTTAGGTACTAAATCTTGAAAATCAAGACTTGAAAAGACTGTAAGCAAAACCTTCTCTTTTGTAGATATATTATTATAAGAACTTCATTTCAAAAGAACCACTTTATACCTACAAAATTGATTATGAAAACAAACTATACTCACATGCAATTATAAACATTAATCAGGCTGGGGCTGGGACTTAGTGGTAGAGCACTTGCCTGGCATGTGTGAGGCACTGGGTTCCATTCTCAGCACCACATATGAATAAATAAAATAAAGGTCTATGAACAACTAAAAAATATTTTTTAAAAAATTAATCATGTATGGGTAAGCATAAAAAATAGTATTTTAAGTGCTCTTTTGAAGAAAATGTCCTACATCAGCAGAGATATAGTCCAGAGAACTTTAGAATGAAGATGCCTTTTATCTTCCTGTGAATCTCCCACTTTCTTTATCCATTCATCTGTGGAAGGGCACCTAGGTTGATTCCATAACTTAGTTATTGTGAATTGAGCTGATGTAAACATTTCCCTGTGCTAAGCTTTGAATCATCTTTAAAACGGAAGTTTGAAAAGTCTTTGAATGGCAAACACAGGGAAGGAGCGGATTCCTTGGTGAGGTTTTCCGTTTTCRAAGATTCTTTTGAATCATGCCAACTGCAGACTGAGTCAGAAGAATCACCATAAACCCAGACCAGCTGGTAACTAATCCAGTTAA